TCTGCATCAATTTAAAAGTACACATGTATCCAGCTAACAGGAAGTAATTTAGTTATGGATCTGAAAATGTGTTACACCATATACTTTATAAATCATCAAATTATCTCAATCATTACACATAATTGTTCAATACAGTTGGAAGCTCTAAAGTATTGGAAGGGATATATACACATGTGTGCATGTACATGGGACTTAGGTAATGTTTTAACCTGATGTTATAAGAAGAATATTTACCTTACATGGTATTTATGGTTTACTTTGTGAATTTTTTTTTTAATAAAATGAAGACAAACTGCATTTTCTAACATCTATACACAGGCACTTGTCTCAAAAAAATATTTCCTATTTACCTTAATGTTATATCAAGGTATATAGGAAATTTTTTAATGTTATATTAAGGTATATTTAGGAAATTTTTTTCTGAGACAAGTGCCTGTGCTGGGAAACACAAATAATGCCCCCACAGATGCAAAGTGTTATTTCAAAATCCACAAAGTTGAGCATTGGAGCACATAGGTCTACGGTTCACTGTAGGAGGAGTTATCCGGAAACGATATGCACCTCTTATGCAAGTATATACTCCAAAAATGATAAAGTTCAACTATCTCCCAAAAGAGCAAATATTAATAAAAATCAAAATCCTGACCACATGCACACCTTCAATATATGTACAAACAGCCAACAAAGTGAAAACTTTCTAGCATTCAAACTCTAGGAGGAGTTATCTGGAAAAACTATACACCCATAATGGGACGAACAGAAGAATGGACGGATGGACAGGGGTAAAACAATATGTCCTCCAACTTTCATGTGCAGGGGCATAAAAATTTTCAAAACCAAAAGCACGTCTACATTCACCAATCTCAACAAGTGTAAAGTTGGCAATAATTTTGATCAAGCATACTAGAGCTAGTATACATGTAAAAAGTTGCCTGAAATCTGACAGTTCAAGTCTAAAAACTGTTGAAACACAAATAAAAAAAAAAAAAATATTAAAAGGAGTCTTAGTTGAACCAATGCCAACAATTGAGTAAAACTTCTTGTAAATCAATCACAGCATACTCAAGGTATGGTACAACAAGCGAAAAAATTTACTCAAATCTGTCTATTTAAGTCTAGTAGTACTAGTAACTCTGGAATGACAAACCAGATAATTTCTAAAATAAGGGAGTTTTCTTTTTATCAATCTCAGCAACAGTGTATAAAGTTTTGAGGTAATCAATCCAAGCAAACCAGATTAGTGGTGCAACAAACATGTATGAAAATGTTTTTAACTTTTCATGAAAAAGTCGAAAATAAACTCTGGAATGACAAAAGTGAGAAAATCATGAAAATTGAAATTGAAATTGAAAGGGAGCTTATTTTGATCTATTCTAACCATATATATTACAGTCAGGGGTATTACTTATACAAGTCATTTTTATTTACTTGAAGATGCAAGTTATATTTACTTGTACGAGTAATTTTGTAAGATTTTTATTTTTATTTTCCAAGTTTGAATTTTCTCCCCTTAATCTTCTCTAAAAATTAACTTGTACAAGTAATTTTTTTTTACAACCCCTTAAATTCTCAAGTTTTGTGATGTCAAAACATGACTGAACATTTTTCTAGTTTGCTTATTAATTTCTAAGTAGAGTTCAACATTTTATCTCAAGAACTAAGCAAAGAAATCTATTGCGCAAAGATGTTAAGTAACTGTGCAAGGCCTTCAAAAATTGCTCCCTGGAGGCTTGTACATGAGTAGCATTTTGAAAATAACAGACAAATGAGATTTTTATTGTCCATGAAATTATACTTTTATGAATAGTAAAGACAACTATTAATGACACACAATTAAAAACTCTATTAAAGCAATGTAGTCAAGAGAAATTCAAGAGTAGAAGAAATTAAGACCTTTTTAATTATTTAAGTAAAAAATATCTGAATGTTTAAGGGATGTAACTCCACCTTCAAAACAATTTACCTGTATCAGTAAATAAAAAACACTTGTACAAGTATTATCCCTGACTGTATGATAAAATTACAGCCAATAGTATCATATAAACTAAAATTAAAGTTAACTTATTGTACAACATATGAGAAAGTGTCCAATTTTCCACGATAAATCGATTGATTGTTGGTGTTAATTGCCCCTTTCAGCAATATTGGCTATTTCCTGGCGGTCAGTTTTCATTGGTGAAGGAAGCCAGAGTCCCCAGAGAAAACCACCAACCTTTGTCAGGAAAATCCTAGTCAATTAAGTTAGAATCAAACGCACCTGTTAGAGTGAGGTACGAACTCACAACCTCAATGTTGACAGGCTAGTGATCATGGTGATACAATACAGTAGTTGAACTACTAAGACTATGAGGCCCCAAATTTTCCATGAATAAAGCCCCATATCCTATGGAATAACAATATTTGAAATTGTTAAAATCAAAACTGAGCTTTCTGTCGTCAATCGTAATGTTGTGTTAAAATTTCCAGAGTATGATAAGAGTACATTTGAGATATCATACCAAGTGTTGACAAACAGATGGATGGACACACAGACTACAGCAGGCTTTCCGAAATTCACCAAAGGACTGTACAACATTTGGTCCGATACACAGCAATGATACATCTGACAGACCAAAAATGTGCTATAAAAATCAGGAAAAATTACTGGTTTCCTGTTGCCAGTTCTGATTAATGCTCTGAATCAGGTATTTAGGGCATGCTCAGTAGAAATAAACACAAAATCTTAAGGTTTTCAAAGAACTGTTGTTTTCTACATGATAAACTGCAAATTCCAAAAAATAAAAAAGCTAGCCAGTACAAAATCTATGTTCAAATACACATCTGGTTTAGTCAAATTGGTACTGTTTATGACATTGCACTGGTAAGTTGTGAATATTTGTCTAATAAGCACAATAATGTTGGATTGTTCAACAGTCTGGCACAATTTGGGCAGCCTGTAGTATACATGGTATATGATACAGTGCATAATGCATTCCTTCTAAGACAAACATATAAAATGACAATAAATTGCTAAGACTCATTTGAAGATCATAAGCCAATTTATGAATGAGTTACACTGGTTGACCCCAAGGTCAACTCTCAAAATTATGTTACTGAATAATCGACTATGATGTAATAACTTGTAAGCATTATGACATTGCATTTTATGTATGGGAAAATACAAGAATTTGAAAGTCTTCTATGGCAGTGAAAACAAAATGTTGATACTTGAAGATAAAGGTAATTTCTACCTTCCCAGAGGTCCCAAAAATATGCCTGACCACCAGACGTTTCAGGCAAATTTGGTTTGGTCAGACAAGAATGGCTAATTGCTTTTTTTTTCTTTCCAATTTATCTAACCGCCTTGTTGGTCTTGTGCTTGCCTCAAGTGGGAAAGGTTGTGGAATTTAGGAGCAAGACCAAAGAGTGGTGGACTCAGCGTCTTAATAATGAAAATGCGTCCTTGTAGGTTGTCATGTCTTTCTGTTGACTGTTACCTTGTGAACAAGCATGTTAAAAAATCCAGTTCCGCATGTCGGTCTAGTACAAAGCAGGGTCTATATTCATATCACATTGTAATGTTCTCATGAATATACATTTCATTTGCAGCTGGACTTTAACCCTCTTGCTGCTGGAGGGACACAAATGTCCATATGTTTAATTTATGTAAGCACTTGTACATTACTGTACTTCTTTCAAATAAAACATCGAAGATTAAACAGTGTAATATTTTTCTTTATTAAAAGGGTCTTTAATATAACATCATATGTGAATGATGTCATAGTTTGGCATGAGACATTACAGACTTCCAACTACCGTATTTCAGGAAAACGAAATGCAACCGTATTAATAAGCGGCATCAAGTTAAACAGCCATCCATCATATCAATAGATTTATGTGATCTTCACATGTCTGGGAAATTATATTTTGGTCCGGCAATATTTTTCACTTGCCTAACCAGATATCCGAGACAAAATTCAAACTTTCAAGAAGACTGCTCTCCTCATGGACCTGAATTATTGATGTCGCACAACAATCACTTTTCCTTTGTGGTGTCAGACATTTTCTATTTTGGCATCACTTACGGGAACTTTTGTAATGTCAAGTAATGGCAGATAAATAGTGATAAGGTGTATGACAAACGCTCCAAATTGGTATATTCAATCACTACAGAAGACTTTAGAATTTGTGCATTTTCTGGAAATTTCCTATATCACAATGCTTATGTTATGTCACAGCAAGAACGGATTGTTTCATTATGTCTTTCACGCTGATTGACCCCTGGTCAACCTGCGTAATTCTTTTATAAAAAGCAACTGGAGATTGGTGTAATACATTAAGGTTTCATTAAAATATCCTAAATGTGAATGAAATATTTTCCACTGGACATTAGCAACAACAATCAATTCAATAATTGTTTCATTATTTTGGATTCTGTGACATTTGACCTGTGGTCATCAATCTATAATAATAAATCTTATGCGGCACTAAAACTTTCTTCATCTTTCGTAACAAATTGTTTTAATGCGAGAAGTAATCTATTGCAATAGATTTTCATCATACATGTATTTTATATTCACATAATTGTTTGCATTTTACTATAACATGTTTATCCATTATTGTAAATGCGTTAGTGCCAATAAAATGTTGTCTAAAATGTCTTTAAATTGTGACGTCACTCGTCAGACATTTCCGCATGTGACGTAAAACTTTTATGTCTTGTACAATGGCGTGCATATAGTCAAACAGAAAGAAATCAATTTCGTCTGAAAAAGGCTATAAATGTATAAGATTATTTAATTCATTGTTCAAATATTAAAAAAAAATAAAATAAATTGATTAATTGCCGCGTGACTTCCTCCTACTTAACAATGTCGGAACGATGAGTCGACAGACATAAAAATCAATAAATGATGACTAACTTATAATCACCGGAGGCATACAATGTGTGCTGATGACGAAACTACTTTCTTTTCAATGTTTTTGTTTTTCATATAAAAATTTCATATGTAAATCCTCACCTGGTATTTTACGCTATTTCCCAAAACTTGTTTATGTATAAAATTGTGACACTCTATCATGCTTCCACAAATAAACAAAACCGCGCACGCTGAACGGAAGAACCTAGTTTATATATGGAGTCTTCATCACGTGGTTATCAGCGCCTCCTATATGTATGTAGCAGACGTTCTAGAATGTTATATATGCTAATGAGACGGTGCACTGCGGCGTGACGTACACTGTATGTGTATCATGTGATCACTGTAAAAACAGAGATAATGCGGACATTTAAAGTGACACGTCTTAACACGATTAGAAGATCAAAAATAGAGGAAGAATTTGTACATTGTTTGAAGGGATTATTAGTGTGATTTGCGCATTGATGTCTTGGGGAAAAGAAATATAATGGAAGTGTAGGGCTATATGGGAATGATTCCAGTCAAGTGATCGATCTATATCCCTGCTACTGATGTAGAATCAAAACAAGGAAAGTACACGTAAAGTACTTTCGATATTGATTTATCATGGACATCTGTTGTAAATAACAACACGTCTTGTTTAGTCAATACAGCGGAGTATTATGTGAATTTATGATGTTTTGTTTATGTGTCTTGTAATAAAACGAATGGATTTTGTGATTAATATTTGAAGTCTCTTTTCGATTCTTTTTGATCTATTTTATTAAATGGAAAATTAAAATTCAACAGCATTGAAGGTAGGAAAAAGTTAAATCACAAAAATACTGAACTCCGAGGAAAATTCGAAGCGGAAAGTCCCTAATCAAATGGCAAAATCAAAAGCACAAATACATCAAACGAATGGACAACAACTGTCATACTCCTGACTTGGTACAGGCATTTTCTTATGTAGAATATGGTGGATTGAACCTGGTTTTATAGCGCTTAACCTCTCACTTGTATGACAGTCGCATCAAATTCCATTAAGCAAACAAAAAAGAACATATACCAGATGTAACGTTAACAAAGTTTATAGAGCGTTTTACCTGATTTTTTCTTCAAAGATAACATCGTTTTACCGTGACCGCCAGGTGTTACACAAAAACTTATTTTCTTAACAAATAATAATGTTATAAGGATATCGATAAATCAATACGGTGGGTGATATACCAAAGACGGGGTTATTATTATAAAGGAATTTAAAAGAGTATACATGTATATTTGCAAGTTCCTGACCGAAAGCAGCATAAACATGATAAACCTAAACAAAATTCCCTCTGATTCTGACCAACAACTATCTTTTGTATCAGACAAAAGTGTTTCACAAAATCAGATTTTATTGCATCCCTTCCTTTTTTCTTTCTTTAAAAATCAGACAACAGAAAAGAATTAAGTTAAATGAGGTTTCCATCGATCGATCGTCTTTCAATGTATTTGACAAAATCTCTTGGAATTTTGGGTCGTCAATGGATTATGCTCTGCAACTTCATACTTTATGTGACCTTTTTAAAAAAAAATTATTCAAGCGTCACTGATGAGTCGTTTGTAGACGAAACGCGAAAATTTTAAACCTGGTATCTATAATGAGAATTTTTACATATTTTTTTAACAATTCAATGCTTTAATACTTAAATTAAAACTAAAACTTTGCTACAGTTAACATCATGAACTTAGAGTTAAGCCAAATTAATTACAAAAAAATTTACATTTTGGGAGCTTAAAATACTTCTGAGTTACTTAACTTGATCACCGTTAAACGAATTAATAACGATGTTTTTCGTGAAAGTAAATGAGAACTGAAATAACTCGTATAAACAGACCACACTTTTACCAAAGCGTAAACTCACATCAAACCCGAAGTTATGTTGTGTAGATGATAAATCAAATTATCTTGTATTATTAACAAAGAAACCTGTTTGCAGACGACATCCACGTTGCCTTAAGGTATATAGTCACGTGATCATCTAATTGTAATATAAAATGTACACTTTTCCTCCATACGTCAGACTACAATTACCTTGACCTGATCAACTGATCATCTCATGATCACGCAAACACATCATGTCCGCAGCAAATATAAGTTTTAAAAAATGCAGTGACGTATTTAGAATTTTTATGGTTACCTATTGATTCATGAAATCAAGTGAGGAGATATACAAATAAATCGACTTCTATTAAATAGTCATAAAGTACACGTACACAATTTTAAACCAGGCACACAAGATGAGTTTATTTACGACTGATAGTAGTTGCATGATAAGCTTTGGATCAGAGCTCACGAAAAAAATGATTTGCAAGCCCGAAAGTTTGTTATAAAAGTATATGATTTATATCGGTTGTGGTCGTCTCCTTATAGGAATTGTTTTTGCTGGCATGGGTCGTAGATTTGTGATTAATTGTGGATCGAAAATAGGGTTATAGTCATTCATTGTGTCGACATACTGGTAAAAGAGAGACGAACGATATCAAAGGGACATCCAAACTCATAAATCGGTAATGCCATGGCAAAAATTGAAAAACGACGAAAAGGCAAACAACAGTACACTAATCAACTTAGAAAACTAAAGACAGAGTAACATGAACCCTACCAAAACCAGGGGTGATCTCAGATACTCCGAAAGGATAATCAAATCCTGCTCCACATGTGGCACCCGTCGTGCTGCTCATGTAAGTACATAGTAGGTCACATTCGAGGAAAAGAGGACGGGATTGTGATTACGACAATTGGAATATATCCGTCGTCATCTGTAAAACAGATATTCCATAACGGTCTAACTTGTGTGCTAAACATTCACAAAAGAAGCGGAACACCTACGTTGCTTTCAAACACGGTATTGCTACGAGACGAGTTTCGTAGTAAAAATGTAAAACAAAAGGTTTATTCAGATTTCTAGCTCACTAGGGATCAAAAGTTTGTTATTTTTGTCTCCGCCGGGAATCACGATGATTAGGAACAGAGGAAAAGTACCTCGAACTTTTAATTAGGAATAATTAATATTTTCAAGATAATGAGCTAAGCATTGACTACGTGAAAATAATAACCATAGTGTAATTCAAACGAGGCTAATATTTTCGCATATACCATGCTCAACACTACTTTATAATTGTCATCTTATGCTGAATGTCAATTGTTAATCAAAGCAGTAAAAAAAAATTCAAAATATTCAATATTTGATATATAGTATGAAATCAGGGAGCAAGTCTTAAAACTTGTTAAAAGCACAGGCAGTTGTCATTATTTTTTTTTTCACCTATTAACTTTAATATACAAGGTACCTAACTCGTATTTTTGAGAAATGACACCAGTCGCGAACTTCCGTTATATTTCGATTCCGCTGTTGTCTATCTCACTGAAACTTGTTATGTCGTAAATCTACATTAAATTATTAACAAAATGATGTATTCCGTTGTCGGAATCATTCGAAGCAGTCCTACAAAGTAGGTAATCGGTAACATATTTAGACTTCTCACAGCCAAATGGCAAAGTGAACGATTAATTATAAAGTCTTTCCCAAAAACCTGTCAATTTTTCTCTGAATAGAACTTATCATCTAGGTAGTTAATTTGTAAAAGATATCATTTCTCAGAAATACGAGTTAGATACCTTGTGTTAACCTAATATATAGAGGAGACGAAAATCACATTTTATTATTTAGTTAACCATATATATTAAAGTATATAGCTAAAAAAATCAAAGACAACTGCTTGTTGTTAAAAGACATCATACGAAATTTCTACTTCAAACAGCCACAGCGGTTAAGATTAAACTTCGGATTGTACTGAAATTATTCCTTTCATAAATCGTTTTGAAGATTGCGCTGAACTCCACCTTCTCACGTGATCATACAATTGACTGATGAGACGAACGAATACCATTGACAACAGCTGAATTGACTTTCAAGTACTAAAGGAACGCTTTGCCCGGGCACTTCCAATCTTTCTTGCATATGGATAAATAGATAATAAGATACGTAAAGAAAAATACAATCGATCAATGGTCACCTTCCGGGGCACAAGCGTTCGCCTTCAGTTTTTGGTTGGGCTCATGTCGTTTTTTGTTTTGTGTCTTTTAATGTTTGACTTTTTATAATTGTAATTTTTGCCATAATCTTTTTCTGTCCTGTATGTATATGTATGTTTACATAAATGGACGCCTGTTCCATTTTAAAAATGAAAAACAAAACATTCCCCAATATAAACATCATTATTAAACTTTATATTGATTAATTGAACAAATAAGATTATATTTCTTAATTGTAATTCAAAATCTGTACTATCTGTACTCTCTTTTTGATCGAATATAATCTGAATATTTTGCCTTGTTCTGTTAATTTCAACAGTGTCCATTTTCGTTGATACCAATCGTTATTTCGTCTAAATCTATTCTAAACGAACTTTGGCATTCGTGGAGCAGGAACTACTTACACTTCAAGACCACCCAACAATTAGCATTCAATCAATAAGGTCTCGAAATACAAGTATTTCATCTAAGAAATTTTTAAATTGCAAGCGATTGCAATACCATCTCAAGTAGAACAAGTGTGATATGCCTATATCGATAGCATCGCAATATTGTTTACTTAATTGTTGTTACTCCATCAAAACGTTTATGCACTTGTTTTTTTATTTCTCAAGATTTTGACGTCATTTGGCATTCCCATTTCTCACTACCGATGTCTTAGCTTATTAATGGGTGACTTTATTATGGAAAAAGAAAAAAAGTTACAACATATTCAAGTAAATGCTTGAGCAACAGAAATCCAACAATAGAGAATGAACCCAGGTTGGCAGGTGGTGTTGGAGTGCAAGAAGTTCCTGCTCCACGAATGGATTCCGTCGTGTAACTAATGACAAGTAAAAATCCAGTGATAAGTTGAATAAAGTTAAAGAAATAAACGTGGAAAGTAGGAGGTAAATGTATAGGTGAACTTAGTTACGGTAGTTGCTAAAAACTTTCGAAAAAAAGACTTCACGTTTACCGATAACAGCTCTTGGGCCAGTACTTCGATCTACGATCGAAATACTGAGAAAAGGGTAACGTATCGGCGTAGAAACATATACTGCAATGCAGGCGCTGTTTAAATGCTGCTATATATAGATAAAAGCAATGGGGGATTGTTGCAGTCAACACAGTCATGAAACTTCTTATTATTCAGTAAAAGGTTATTAACAGTATGGCGCATACGCATAAAGAAACGGATAGACGA